TGGTTGTCAGCAGCAAAACTGGTTGATCCACTCTGAGAAGGTGCTATTTAAGAGACTGAGCTGAATACAGCACCTCAGACTGAGGAAGTCTCTCGGATGAGAGACGAAACGTTTCTAAATTTTTTTTGGTTTTGTTTTTTGTTTTTTTGAATGTCCAGAGGACCAGATTGAACTTTTTTGTATTTTTCTACCTGGATTATTGAGCATGCATCAGGACAAAAGAATCAGAGGAAAATAAAAACTTGAGAGTTGAATGAGTCACTTTTTTCACCATCTTGTGCTCACAGTGCCTCTTTCATTAACCCGCCAAAGGATTCCATTCCAAATTACACTTTGTACATCTGCGTCACAAAAAGTCCTCAAATGTCTCATAAAGCTTGCACACATTTCAGTAACATAAGACTTAAGTGCATCCCAATCATACATCCCTGTTGTGAGTTCCTGTCCCGTAAAGCTCTCGTAGGCCCTGTCATAGGCATATTTGTCACATTAAGCTGACCTACCTACCCTTCATATAAAACCCACATATGTTTCTGGCATGTGAATGTTCAACACATAATGCTTGTATGAGCCCGTTAGGTAAGGCCTACCTAAGTGTGTGTCCATTACATAAAGCCAACATCCGTCCCTGTCCCTTAAACCCTACATATGTGCTCATTACTTAAAGCCTGTGTACACCGAGCTGCCTCTGACTTCCACATAGTGCACAGCTTTCTGAAAATCATATGGCCTTACATGCTGTCATTACTGTTCATGAAAAGTTTGTTCGCTGACAGAGGCCTCGATAACGACTGGAACTCCTGAGGGCTTGTTTCGCTGACTGTCCAAACGTGTTGTGTAGTGTTAGAGGGAAGTTCTGGAGCAATGGGCCCTGCCGAACCTCCAGGCTATGAGAACGAGTTCTGATTCATGTTCCTCTTTTGTTTTCATTGTTGTTTTTTTTAAATAACTGTGTTTAATTGTGTGGTTTTTTTCTTACTATATTGAATTCTGAAACTGACTGTAATTTGAAAACACAAGAATGACTTTTTTTTTCATTTCAGTGATTCTGAGGGGTAAAATATGAGCAGTGTCAAACTGAATGCTTTTATGTTTTGTATAGACCAATGAATTGTACAATTGTGTCAATAACTTAACTTATCAGTTTATCTTAATAAAGCGCACCAGTCATAAACATTTCAATAATCAGACTTTTTTTTTGTATTCCAGTGAAGGAAAATCAAGTAAAATTGAGGGGAAAAAAGTAATTTTATATTTATTTTGGCTTGTTTTTTTAATCCTTTCAGACAAGTTTTAGATATTTTATGTTTTACTATACGGGCTTCATTTTATTACCTAATACTCATTCTTTCCAGGAGAACAGCATGGTGGTGCAGTAGTAGAGCTGCCGCCTCTCAGCAAGAGGGTCGCCTGATCGAATCCCGGCCGGGGAGTCATTATGGGTGGAGTTTGCATGTTCCCTCTGTGCATGCGTGGGTTTCCTCGGGGTACTCTGGTTTCCTCCCACAAACTAAAAACATGCACGTTAGGCTGATTGGTAACTCTGAATTGTCTCTAGGTGTGAGTGAGAGAGAGAATGGTTGTTTGTCTCTGGGTCCCTGTCTTGGACTGGAGACCTGTCCAGGGTGTCCCCCACCTCTCGCACACTTGACGACTGGCTGACCATGGGCACCAGTGATCCCTGTGACTCAAAAAGGAAGAAGTGGGTAAAAGAAAATGGATGGATTCCTTCCAGTATTTCAGGCTGCAACACATTCCAGTACAACCTGTTTTAGTACACTCAAAAAATTCAAGTCTGGTCCTCTGGACGTTCAAAAACAAAACAAAAAAGTGCAAATGTTTCGTCTCTCATCCGAGAGACTTCCTCAGTCTGAGGTGCTGTTTTCAGCTCAGTCTCTTAAATAGCACCTTCTCAGAGTGGATCAACCAGTTTGCTGCTGACAACCAAAACCAGCTGATCACATGCTCAAGAAGGACCATCAGCCTAACAATGGATCATTAGCACCTGATGGCTGTTTACTATTCACAGAGGGCTGAGTGATACTAGCAATAACAGCATTGTACAAACCGGATTCCAAAAAAGTTGGGACACTAAACAAATTGTGAATAAAAACTGAATGCAATGGTGTGGAGGTGCCAACAT